AAAAAAAAAACATCTGTCACGACAACAAACACTTGAACGTTAGAGCTAACAGCTCTTTGAACCAGACCAGTCATATTCATCAATAAGATCTGCAATAAACAACAAAAAAGAAATCACTTCCTGCTGTCGATAGTTGACAACGATAGTTGACGACGATAGTTGACGACGATAGTTGACGACGAGGAACTCGTTTCTTCGTCACCTCACTGGGAAATTTGTAAAACAAAGTTTAAGAGAAAGAAAAGAATAATCATATTTCTAGTGTGCTCAAGACTGATGGAGAAATTACCAGACACAGTCACACCCCCATTCACACTCACCTTCTTACCCCATACCCATCCATATATTTACACACGATCACATGATATATAATCTGATACTTTGATAAACTCAATAAAAGTGCAGAGGAAGGGTGTGGCTACTGGGAGTTGATGAGGAAGCTGCCAGAAGGGCAAGCTGCACTGTCCCATTGCAAGTAAAAAATCAAGAGGTCTTTTGTGTTGTTACGTTGTCGTCATATATGTTAGAATAAACCTGACATAACTTGGTCCTCCGAGATGTATGTCAACAAAATAGGCAGAATCTAAAGATCAGGTGGAGTAGTCAACAAACAAGGCAGAATCTAAAGATCAGGTGGAGTATGACTGAAGACCCTGTACGGCCAGAACTAGTATTCTGGGGAAAGACCTGTGGAGTGAATTCTCACTCGGGCCAGTACTCCGATACCTGATCCTGGGCTGCTGATTGATGGCATCTGATACCAGAATAAGATCAACGATGAGAGTGAGAAACTATTTTTTATTACCAGCACGTGGTTGAAACATGGGTTGGAGTCCCTGAGCAGAAATCCCTAAATTTAATAAGTGGGCTGAAAATCCCTGGTCAAGAAAGCCGGGCACAGCGCAGGAACGCACATTATTGTAAAGAAAAATAAAGACTGTTATCTGTCATCTGTGTCAGCGTCTTCGTTTGGGCTTAGTAACAGAAGCCTGAGAGGCGGATCAGAACGTTTAGGAGGCATCATAGGGCATTAAATTAGGGTAAACTTTCACCCAGGTCTATTTTATATTCCGGAACAAACACTGGTAATATCTTTGCGATTTTAACGTTAATAGTGTTTACCAAGGTCATTTCCAAATTCTTTGTTGATGCACACAGCAGGAGTCAGACGGTAAAAAATGAAAACATGGTCGAGTTTTTGTAAAAATCACCATTTTGGGATCAATTTTCAGCAGTCGGCTTATACACAAGTCGGCTAAAACGCAAGTATGTACGGTAATTCTTTTGTAGCCAGTGTTTTCATTGAGTTCAGAATCCTAGCCATTTTCTTGATGAACCACTATCTCTCGTCATATGGCTGGACAACCATTACAGGAGAATTGCTTGCAAGTCCCCAGGTAGTCTCCCCAGGTAAATGGCATTTACTTTGAAAAAGTAATTAGTTATAGTTACTTCTCCCAAAAAGTAACTGAGTTAGTAATTGAGTTACTCCACTACAGAAGTAACTAGTTACCAGTGAAAGTAACTATTGCATGACTTTTTTTAGTTTAAAAATGTAGAATAGAAAAGCAAAGACAGGTACCTTCTTTTTTGCACCTCAACAGACCACAACTGGTACAACTGTTTTCTTCTTCACAAAAGTAAACATATTAACAATATGTAGTGCTTTTAACTCGCTGTGTACCCATTTATGTTCTACCTCAAACATTTATTAATTCAGTGAATCTGAAATGGATTCAGACATCAAAATATCATGGTGAAAATGAAAGCCATGAAAGGAGACTGAGTTCCGATCCTAAGGTTTGAAATCCTAAAACAGTAGGTCTGTGGAGTTCTTCTTATGCTGTTTTGCACAGTGCTTTAAATTCTGTTGTGTACTGTAAATTAAATAAATTACACTTACACCAACACAAACATATACACAGGAACATATTTGTTCTACAAAGAACGTTTCTTTTATACAACTGGATAGAGCACCCTTCTTGTGTCTAAGCAATTCATATTTACTGTAAACAAATTAAAGTATAGAGATGATGAGCGCAGCACAAATTTAATTTTGATCTTCTAACGCCCCCCTGTGGTGATGCACAATACTGCCTGCCTCCCCTGCTGACTTTTCTCTGCACTTTCTTGTAAGATCAGCAGAAACAATTCTCTCACACATACATTAAAGACATTACACAGACTGTAGCCACACTGTAGAACATTTACAAATATTTCTGTAAAGTTTGGCGATATGCTGAGAAACAGAAACGAGCACGCATCATGCGACCCAGATTGTATTGGATCGCGCAGGCAGATATGAGGAACAGCTCTCCACTGCCTCACCCGGGATTTCTGCCCTGTATTTGATCGCAAAATACTCAAATTGAGCAATTTCTACTTAATAAAATGTCAAAAAATTCTTAAAGAGGGACACTGCCACCTCAGCAAAAGCAGCCTACTGGAGGAGAAAAGAAGGCATTGACTGACATCAGTATTGACAGATATTTCAACTTGCATCAGTATCAGACATGAAAAAGCTGTATCGAGCCATCCCTAGATAAAACTTAGTAAATTAACTTTATGGTTATGGGTCCAATATTGGTATTGGGGTACAATGCGTCCTTCAACATTTGTACTATTACTCAAATTTGTTCCTATCCTTAATTATTGAAAAGCTACGCAAGAGTAAAAAAATGCATCAAGTACAGACAGCAGCTGGTTGTTCACGACAATGGAATCAACCAATCTTTTATTAGAAAACATGTATTGATTAAACCCTTCTCAAGCTTAAACATTACATTTACCCAAAGAATATTTAATAAACCTATACCAACGTGAATTCTGTCTTCATATTCACACAGACCCTGTTGGGTCACAACAATCACACCATTTAGTTTCTGACATGATCATTTCGCAGGAAAAACTCGGGGGATTAAGTACTGCATGTTTCCAGGTCTGCCTCAACTGTCATAAAGACCAATCCCTTGCCCTTAACATTATGCAAAATGCACTCTATTGAGTCGTCCCTATTTAGTTAAATTTACTAAGCCTAAGCGCCCCTTCAAAACAAAGTGCTTCTTTGAATATGTTGGAACATTGACTTAATAAAAAGGACATCAACTCTAGTCTTGTTTGCAGGTTCAGACTGCACTCTGTGATGTGGAAGCCTCTAATGGTTAAATGATTCTGATGTTTCTGCCTGAACTCCCTCACTTACAAACCATACTTTTACCTAAAGAATACTGTACATAATAGGATTGTAGAGATGAAGCAAATGGTTACTTCACTGCAATTGAACAAATTAGGATTCTTCAAACATATTTTGAATGTAAATTCGGAATAATATAGCAAACAGAGATTTACAAATAGGGAACAAAGACTGAATAAAACATCTTTAACTATTGTCTAACAGCAGTGCTCTGCTGTCATGAAATCTGCTCTCTACTGCTGGCCTTCTTTCTTCTCTCCCTCCGTCGAACTGGAGCCGCTCCCTTCTCGCTCTGCTGCCATCTGCAGGACAGAATGAGGTAAGGTAAGCATAACAAAAACAGTTTATTTTTCACATTTCATTCGTTTAATGGCTACAACTACAAATGACAAAGGGGAAAACCCCTTATTAGAGGCTGTCATGTTGTCACGACTGTAGTTTACCTTTTTGTATGCCATTTCGAAGAGTTTAAGTGATGCCTGCTGCAGGTTGGTTGCTGCTTGTTTGATATTCTCGCCCGTTTCTGAGTCCTTGTTTGCCAGGAGATCCCTGACTTTAGAAATCTCCTCCTTTAGTTTAGTGCACTGAGGAAACACACAAAAAATGATTTAAAGATGCTGACATGATCTAAATAGGTTACGCAACTACAACAGAAATCTCTGTTACAAATAAAAACTGTTTTTTTTTTATTTTATTTTTTTTATGGTTATTGGACTAACAAAAGCTTTACCTCATCAGCTGGAAGCTGATCCTTGAACTCCTCCATTTTTGATTCCGTATCGTGTACTATGCCCTCAGCAACATTAACAGCTTCCACGCGGTCCTGCATACAACAATCGAAAAAACAAGGACAGAGTCAGACTTGACTGAACAATTACTTCTTCAAGGAACAAAGTGCCCCCTGTTCTCCCTTCAACAGGGTTTACCTTTCTCCTTCTGTCTTCCTCGGCGTACTTCTCAGCATTTTTGATCATATTTTCAATGTCGTCTTTACTAAGTCCTCCGGAAGACTGAATCACAACTGAGGGGATGGAAAAAATGATGACCATTTTAAGTACCGTGTTTTGCCCACACACAGAAAATGTTTGTTCCGTCAAAAGTTCACACTGTGAAAGAGTACCAAAACCCATCTATCGCTGCGTGCCCATGTTGCTTGAAAGAAAAGCAATTTTTAACAACAGATGCCATGCAGAACTATAGAAACAGGTTTCCTACCCCATAAGGTAAGGTAAAAGAGGTAAAAGAAAACCTATCCACCTAATTCAAATAAGGTTGTTTTCTACCATTATCCAATTTAGAAGATATGCAGTCTATGGAAAGAACTAATCTTTAAGGTCTTTTGCTATTATATGATAAACTTGTCATTAATTCTAAGAACTAAAATTATTTTACAGTGTCATTTTCTTAGCATGATCACTGACATTCATTTTTACATGATTTTAGTTCCTTTTGCTGAGGGCGTTGGTTTTTACTGTTTGGTTGCATTTTATTTTTACTTAAAATTGATTAAACTGTTTGTAAATATATTTATATTTAATTATGTTATAAGCATTTTTAAATATATATTGTGATGCATGTCTTTGTTTAAAATACAATATTCATACAGCATATGCCTTGCCTTGAGGTTTTGGGTTACTTTACAAAAGTAGTGATCTTGGTTGCATTTCAGTGGACATGTGAGCAGATGATGATAGAGGTTTTTTTTTTGGGTGGGGGGAGTTTGGAGTAAAGTGCTGGTTACTATCAATAAAGCACCAATGAGTCCAGTGTACTAACTTAAGTATTAGCATATCAATCACAAGACAATGGCTCCATTTGCCATGAATGAAACATGAGATCTTAATTCTCTTAAAACTACTAAACTATTGTTACTCTATTTCAAGTGAGGGTGTTACAACTCTGTATCTATATCTGAACTTGTTACATTGATGACTTACTCTGCTGTTCCCGGCCAGTGCCCTTGTCCTTGGCAGAGACGTGGACAATACCATTAGCATCGATGTCGAAGGTGACCTCAATCTGGGGAACTCCTCGGGGGGCAGGAGGTATCCCCACCAGACTGAACTGACCCAGCACTTTGTTGTCTGTTGCCATCTCTCTTTCTCCTTGACACACCTTGATTTCCACCTGCGTCTGTCCATCAGCTGCCGTTGAGAACACCTAAAAGTGAACAGAGATTGATGATGGATTACATTGGTAGCTTAAAAAGGCAAACATTTTATGGCTTAGTGCTGGGTTGTCCTTACCTGGCTTTTCTTGGTGGGAATGGTGGTGTTTCTGTTGATAAGTTTGGTGAAAACTCCACCCAAAGTTTCAATACCTAATGACAGCGGTGTCACATCCAACAGAAGCACATCGGTGACATCACCAGCCAAGACACCGCCCTGGATAGCTGCTCCAATAGCCACTGCTTCATCAGGGTTCACAGATTTGCTAGGAGCACGACCAAAAACTTCCTGAACCGTCTGCTGCACCTACACAAAAACGAGAAGTTTGTAACATTGTTGCTTTTCTCACTCAACTAGTAGTACACAAAATAATAATTACGGCAAGTACAGGCTTTGAAATACATTACTAAAAGGTTTACAATTGTGTGTGCGTGTATATCTGTGTGTGTGTGTATATATACATAAAGTTCAGTTTGATTTATCAAAAAACTGATAGACGGTAATATTTCAGAAGTGAAACTAGGTTTATTGGACTAACAAAAGATGTGCAATATGTGTGAAAAAATTACACAGGTGCAAAGATTTGGGCTCCCCAACAGGGAAAGAAAAAAAAGTATTTAGAAGATCCCCCTTTTGCCAAAATAACAGCTTCTAGCTCCTACTCATTTTCTATAACCTCCAATGAGTTTCTGGATTCTGGATGAAGGTATTTTGGACCATTCCGCCTTACAAAACATCTCCAGTTCAGTTAAGTTTGATGGTTGCTGAACATAGACAGCCCGCTTCAGATCATCCCACAGACTTTCAATGATATTCAGGTCTGGGGACTGAGATGGCCATCCCAGAACATTGTACTTGCTCCTGTGCATGAATGCCAGAATAGATTTTGAGCAGTGTTTTAGGTCGTTGTCTTGTTGAAATATCCGGCCCCGGCATAACTTGAACTTCGTGATTGATTGTTGAACATTATTCTCAGGAACCTGCTGATATTACTTGTCCAAATGTGCCCTGGCATACCTGACGCGACTGTTTTAGGTGTGTACTGAAAAGGCTTCTTCCGCATCATTCTCCCGTATAGCTTCTCCTTGTGCAAAGTACGCTGAATTGTTGAACGATGCACAGTGACACCATCTGCAGCAAGATGATGTTGTAGTTCCTTGGTGGTTATCTGTGGGTTGTCTTTGACCATTCTCACCATCCTTCGCCTTTGCCTCTCCGATATTTCTCTTGGCCTGCCACTTCTGGCCTTAACAAGAGTTGTGTTTGTGGCCTTCAGTTTCCTCACTATGTTTTTCACAGTAGAAACTGACAACTGAAATCTCTGAGGTAGCTTTTCGTAGCCTTCCCCTGTACCATGATGTTGAACAATCTTTTCTTTCAGGTCATTTGAGAGCTGTTTTGAGGCCCCCCCATGTTGCCACTCTTCACAGGAGATTCAACAGAACATGCAATCGGCCACCTTAAGTTACAGGTATTCAAATCAACAAAATGCCAAGGGTGCCCAAATTTTTGCACCAGTGTAATTTTGTTTTGCTGCATATTGCACATCTTCTGTTAGTCCAATGAACCTAGTTTCATTTCTGAAATGTTAGTGTCCATCAGTTTTTTGAAAATGCAGAATGAAGTTGCTTATCCAAACACCCAATGACTTATAAATGGAAATATTGGAAAATGTCAGGGGTCCCCAAACTTTTTCATACGACTGTGTGTGTATATATATATATATATGGACGTACATACAGTATACATACATATACACATATATACACACACATACAGACATGTATAGATATACACATATATACACACATACATACATACACATGCATATACACAAACATACACACATGTATATACATACACACACATAAAGTATATATATACACACATATACAGGATTGTCTCAGAAAATTAGAATATTGTGATAAAGTTCATTATTTTCTTTAATGCAATTAAAAAAACAAAAATGCCATACATCCTGGATTCATTACAAATCAACGGAAATCTTGCAAGCCTGTGATTATTTTAATATTGCTGATTATGGCTTAGAGCTTGAGAAAACTCAAAAATCCTATCTCAAAAAATTAGAATATCAACAAAAAGTATACCAGTGGGCTAGTCAACCAATCACTTGAGTCGTCTAATTAACTCAAAACACCTGCAAGGGTTTCCTGAGCCTTTAAAAACACTCAGCTTGGTTCAGTAAATATACTTTTTGGTGATATTCTAATTTTTTGAGATAGGATTTTTGAGTTTTCTCAAGCTCTAAGCCATAATCAGCAATATTAAAATAATAAAAGGCTTGCAATATTTCAGTTGATTTGTAATGAATCCAGGATGTATGGCATTTTTGTTTTTTTAATTGCATTAAAGAAAATAATGAACTTTATCACAATATTCTAATTTTCTGAGACAGTCCTGTATACACACATGCATATATACATACACACACACACGGTGTGTGTGTGTGTATATATATACATACACACACATATACATGTATATATACATACATATATGTATATATACACATGTACATGTATATACACACACATACACACGTGTATACACATATACACACACACGTGCGCTCACGGACACGTGCACACACGCACGTATACACACACACGTACATACACATACAGTACATACATACCCATATACATAGTTTGTGAAATAAATGACTATAGTGATAAACAGACTACTGTTTCAATAATCTAATAATGTGGACCATGCTGATAAAGTCAACTGCTAGACCGATTAAATCAAGCCATGCTTTGAAATTAAAAAAAAAAAAAGGGGGAAATAAAATCCAGAAAGCTACAATTAAGCCTTAGTGCACCTCATACCTTGGGCATGCGAGTCATTCCCCCAACCAGCAGCACCTCTCCAATGTCTCCTTTGGACACATCTGCGTCCTGCATGGCCTTCTGACAGGGTGCCACAGTGCGGCGAATTAGGTCGGCCACAATGCTCTCAAACTGTGCACGGGTCAGCTTCATGTTAAGATGTTTGGGGCCAGAGGCATCCATAGTCAGATATGGAAGGTTGATATCAGTCTGTGATTGACATGAAGAAAATGGTTCATTATTACACTCATTACGTACACATGCAAGTGATTTGGTCAAATTTACTGGAAAAAAGCAATTCTAAAGAAATGGAGTGACAATCTGGTCAAAATAACACAACGTAAAGTGTGGCCAATTAGATTACAACAGTTAAGTCAATCAGATGACTCCCAGCTCTGCAACCGTTCCTGCAGGAATGGTAGTCAGATTAAAGAGAATGCCCAAGAGCAGAGTGGTTGCAGCAACATCTTGAGCAGGTGTCAAACTCATTCTCACCAGGGGTCACATCAGCAATACAGTTCCCCTTGAAGGGCCAGTTGGAAAAATGGAAATGAAAGACTGTATAGATCAGGGGTCCACCAACCAACCCCCAGTTCGCGGACCAGTACCCGTCCATAGGTCATTTAGTACTGGGCCGCAGTGGTACACAGTGAAAAAAATGTACTTACTTTTAACCAATTTTCTTCATTCAACGACAATCCTACAGTCATACACATCAACTTTCTTTATTTAAAGATATGACAATATTTTAAAATGTCATTCAGACTATGATATAAACAGAAGAGTCTAAAAGATCCATTCCATAGTAACGGGTGGTACTGGCTGACCAGTCCTTGGAACAAAAAAAGGTTGGGGACCATTGGTATAGATGTAGCTACACCATTAACAGACTACTGCATGTTTCTGCAATTGATTATTATTTATTCAAGCTACAAATATTGTTCATTGCTGTGTAATAAACACAATTAAAAAAAATTAATTTCTCAGGTTAAAAAACTTTAAAAAATTAATTTCTCAGGTTAAAAAACTCATGGAGTTTACTAAATGCTTTTTAAGCTCCTGCGGGCTGCACAAAAAGGCTCGGTGGGCCGCATTTGGCCCATGGGCCTTGAGTTTGACACGTGATTTAGGGATAAAGCCACCAACTTCCATCACCACCATAGAGAGCTGCACAAGTAATTCAAGGCCAGTCAATCTGGAGCACAAATGCAGAAGAGTAGTAATGTAACACGACCACCACAGCAGCAACTGTTCTTACTCCAAGTGGTCAGAGAATGAGTTTAGTTACCCAACGCAAGCAAATATTACACTGTTACAAACTATTATGCAATAGGTTGATAAAATGTGCTAATTTAGTGTTAATACATATGAACAGTCAACATACCTGCAGTGAAGATGACAGCTCACACTTGGCCTTCTCAGCTGCCTCTCTGACTCTCTGAAGAGCCATGTTGTCTTTTGTCAAGTCTACAGCTGACTATAAAGAGAAGATATATACGACTTTACTCTAAACTTAATTTTTCCACTGTAAACCTGTTTAGATAGCCAAAAATGTAACATCACCTCTCTCTTAAACTCCTTAACAATGTATTTAAGAAGGTGTTGGTCAAAGTCCTCTCCTCCCAAAAAAGTATCACCGTTTGTGGATTTCACCTCAAAAACTCCTTTTTGGATTTCCAGAATTGAAATATCAAACGTACCTCCACCAAGGTCGTAGACAGCAATTCTAAAAAAGGAACATAGTTTATTTTACTGAATGGTGTACATGCAATAACACAACTCTGACTGTTGAGGCGGTCCTCTTCTACTCACATTTTGTCCTGGGTTTTGTCCAGGCCGTAGGCCAGGGCCGCTGCAGTGGGTTCATTAATGACACGCAGAACATTCAGACCAGCAATCTGACCAGCATCTTTGGTGGCCTGAAAATCAAAGTTAGTCAAGCACTTAACATATAGGTCAATAGATACACATAAAAGTACAAATTGTGTAAAACAGCACAGAAAACCCACAGTGGTGTATGTGCCTTGGTATTGATATTATGGTGCAGTACATTTTTGATACAAAAAGAAACATGGAGTAAATATATCAATAACTATATATATTAGGGGTTGTAACTTGTAAGACTTCAAGTCCAGTCTCATATTATGAAATTTTTTTTACAAAGAGCACTGAGTGCATTATCCTCAACAGGCCTTTCAGCTGTTATATAAAGAGAATAATGTAAAAATTGTAAAGCAATTTGATAGGACTAAACATACAGGTAAGCCTGATCCTAATCACAGTTAAGCATTTGCTACACGTGATGATAACAACCCTCCAGTCACGAGGTGAAAACATTTCTATCCCCAAGGGGGGCATGACAGAAAATAATTGAGAACCACTGCAATGGACGTTAGCAATAATGAAGGTAATAACAAAACCTGTGGTGATATGCCATAAAATAATTGTCAGCGTCAATTAACAAGTTAACACAATAATAATCGAGTTCCATCCCTGATCAAGATTTTCAAAAAACTTGTATGTGTTTGTATGTATACCTGTCTCTGAGAGTCATTGAAGTAGGCTGGGACAGTAACAACAGCATTCTTTGCTTTGGTCCCCAGGTAGTTCTCTGTAACATTAGCAGTAAAAATATTACATTTAATGTGAAATTCTCCAAAATGATTGGAGAATTAGAAACAGTTCAACAAAAATGAATGACATCATACCTGCAGTCTCCTTCATCTTTATGAGAACAAACGCTCCAGCCTGGCTTGGAGAGTACATTTTTCCATGGGCCTCCACCCAGGCGTCGCCGTTTGATGCACGTACTATCTTGTAGGGAACATTTTTTCTGTAAATAATAATAATAAAAAATTTGAAACAGATTTTGGATTTCACCATTTGAATTTCTCCGTCAGATGAGAAGAGTTTACCATTTAACCAACGATGTGAGAAAATCAAATCATCAATGAAAAAGCACCAAGTACAAAAGCTAAAGAAACTTAGTTTGATTAATACATTAATTATTTGAGAATAGTCCATCAACTGTTAAACACTTCTACTAAAAAGCATCAAACCATCCCTACTATACTGTAAATGGGCTAAAATGATCCATATATCGTCCAAAGGTTTGATATTAATTAAACAAATGAGGGAGTAAAGGGAATCACTGTCATTTACAATTTCACTGACAGAAAACATTTTTTTTGGACAATTCAGTTCAGCCATTTGCCGGAGACCTGACAGCTAAATTATCACGTGTCATATTTAACCAAAATCAAAGGTTAAGGTGATGTCTATGTACAAATAGTTTTTAATTCTGTTTGACAAATTTAAAAGAGTGGTATTATCTTATCTTTTGCAATCAATTACATTTTCAATTACCAGTGTTAACTGTTTAAGGGTGATTATTCTGCTAAAATCTATGGCTAACAAATGTCTCAACGGTATAACTGTTATTCTGAATATAAACTCACAGGTCTTTCTGGACCTCAGGATCATCAAAACGCCGGCCGATCAGTCTCTTGGTGGCATACAGTGTGTTCTGAGGGTTGGTGACAGCCTGACGTTTAGCAGGCATGCCTGCTAAGCGCTCCCCATCTGAAGTGAAGGCAATAACTGATGGAGTTGTCCTGGCACCCTCTGCATTTTCCAAAACCTGAGGAGAAAATGCAGATGATTCAACTTAAAAACCTTCACAGTTAAAGCAGCTCTTTTTGCAACATTGTTAATAACAGGTTGGTCAACTTGGTCAACCTGAACCAGAATTAGTATAAAACATCCTCAGGTAAAACCTTTTTAGTATAGTCTGAACCAGAATCAGTATAAAACGTCCTCAGGTAAAACCTTTTTAGTATAGTATTTTTTAAGTTAGACCGGTGACGAACACATTTTTTGGTATTTCATTACCATAGGAAACCGTTACAAAAAAGCCACTGAGTGCCACCCTAATAAAAAAATATATATACATGTCAAGGGCTGTCGGGGTTGGAGGGTTGTGAAGCTTTTGTGATGTAGCAAAATACCCTTTCTGTAAATGCACACCGTTTTGCACTGCTCCATTTGTTTTTACTTTGTCACACTCATCAGTGTGTGTTGACTGTTAGGACAGGGGCTCTGCATTTTTAGGTGCAGTTGTTTTTTTCCCCAGCTCGGAAAACGGCACAGGTGATTATATTTTAAGTGGGCATGCAAATCTGTTGCGTTTCCTTTTTTGTTGCCACTACTTTGGAACAATTTTGGCATACTGGCTTGTCCGTGTTACTGTGTTCTAGCAAGATAATAAAACACAAACCATGCATCTTACAAGGTATACTATAGTAACATTAATTGTTTGTGTAAAGTGTGACAAATTTCTTTTAGTGTAAGTAATTTGTTTTATGTATCATTTAGTTAAGTTTTACATTAAAAATTAAATATTCAACTTGTATCGTTTGAAGGAAACATTTTGTGTGGTACCAGGTTTAGTTGTATTGTGCTTCCATAAGAGATATTTCATTTCCTGGCCCTCAACCAGAGGTTCCAAATAGGTAGATTGCGAACTATCAGCAGATCACAAAGAGAGTGCGTGAATATCATAACATTATTAAAGAGCAAATGAAAATGGCACACAGCATAAGTGAATAATCTTCAGGTTTGCCCTAAAAAGACTACAAGTCTATTCCATCACTTGCAGCAGTGCCTTAAAAGGGGTGGGAGCAAGCATATTGTGTGTGAGCGCATGAATGACAAGTGAGAGGCAACTGGGAAAGTACAGCATCAGCGTGAGTCACCACCGACACACTGGTGCAGTTTTTACGTCTTTTCTGTTAATAATAATAAAAAAAAACATTAAAAAATTATTATTATTGCTTTTTCATACCTTGGCCTGTTTCCCCTCCATGACAGCAACACAGGAGTTGGTGGTTCCCAAGTCAATGCCAATAACTGCACCCTTGATTGCTTCAGATCTTAAATACAAAACAGAGAGGTTTACAAGGATGTAAAAGACATCCGTACCTGTACACCCAAATTACACTTCATATAAACTATCTATTTACATTTAAATCTAACTTAAAACAACAAGATTTGAGCCCTTTTCACAGAGTGAAAACTTGTTGACTGAACCAACCCATCAATAAATGTTTCTAAAACATCTAGTGATTTTTGGTAATTAGGTGTTTGCCTAATACTTACGCATAGTTTCTCCTGGAGAGAACTCTGATTGCATCCTGAGGAAAGCCATTCCAGCACGCCTAGAAAATGCATCAGAAAGGCTTAACATCCGTTACCAATATTAGTCCACAACAAAAATGTCATTTTTCAGTGTTAGGTATCATTAAGACTACAATGTCATTGCCATTTTTCATACAACTACACTTTACACTTTTCTCCAGTTTTACAAATTCTTATACTGCTCTTAACAGCCAGCATTGCATAGCACTGTACAATTTCCACAAAGGTAATAGCATAGTATATGCAAGAAACAATGCAGGATCCTAAGAAAATTGGGGTTGCACCACAAGGACAAACACGAAGGAATTACAAATTGAAGCTATCATAGATTGCAATGGGAAACTTCTTTGGTAATAAGAGGTACAATATCGCTGCAATGGTGAAGATCCAATGGTAGTACAGCTTTACTAAAGCATGTGCGCACCAGTGTTAAAATTTAAAGCAAATTCCAACTTAGTCCTTTGAATAACACCGTATTCTTATTTTAGAAAGTATATAGAAAACACACTAGTTATATTTGAGTCTGTGTGCTGATGCAATCATCAGCTCTGGACAAGAAATTACAATGACAGTTTGTACCTATTCCAGTTAGGAGTTAACACTTAAACTGATTTGAAAAGCTGGCTTTATCATTGGCAAAACTAAAACTGGAGGCAGTGATGGAGGAGACTCAATCACCTTGTAGAATTGGAATATTACACCCATACAATAGTTATTATTATTAGTTATATATATAGATAGTTATATATATATATATATATAGTATTTATTTTTGTCCATGACAAACAAATGTGATTTCAAAGAATTTAATGCATTGGTCAAACTCAAACTCTTAAGATTAAATAAAGCAGAATAATTTGTAGGGGTAGAGAAAACACCACTGAAGGTCACTCACTGATCCATGGTCTTGGACCAGATGTTTCGCCTTCTGCTAACAAACAACTTTACAAAACCTCACAGTACGGTTTACCTACATATTTTTTAGTGTTTTTTTAAAGTTTTTTTTAATTTTTTCGGTTGTTTAATTGTTTCTCTAACAGGTCTTTTTTGGTTGTTTAATTGTTTCTCTAACAGGTCACATGCATGTCCCCACGCTGAACAAGCATGACGCTAATGAAATTACATACACAAAGACCACGAGGGCTTTAGAAATAATATACATTTTAAATATATACGTTAGCTCGACTTTACGTTAAATAAGATGTCATAGTATGAATGTATTAGAACAAACTAGCAGTAAGCTAGCTACGGAACCGTGCTAATTTAGCTGGATTGCAACTCGTGACAATGCACCACACCATGTGTGTGTCTTCACCAATAGGATGTAATAATCAAAAACTCACCTTTTTGACCAAAGAAGACACGTCTTTTCGGGAGTTCTTTAAAGGTAAGGACCTCGAAACAGTTATTGCAGCTCTCAACATCTTGACAGTTTAGCCTATAAAGGTTATGGACGATATGGAACTGTTTACCGTTATGGTTACGCTAATATATGTAAAGGCTTCCTTTTACATTCAGTTGACAGACTAAACCAATGAAGAGAGGTGGAACACCTTACTCAACCAGGGAACGAACGAGTCTTTTCTGGAATCATCGACACATGCGGCACAGTGAAGCTTTAAAGGACCCCAGATTATGCTGTTCGTGTATTGCCTGAATAGTTTTATCGGTCATTTGTAATTATTGTGCTTTTTCAGGTCAAGTATTGGTCTAATTTGATAACTTGACACCACAAGTGAATCTAGTTTTATTATTTAGTAAACATTATCTATTTTGTGAAATTTTAATCTCGTTCTGGTCGTGCACAAAGGTGATCCGGCAGCCTCAGAGGACCTGTGAAGGTCATGATGTAATAAGGGAAGCGCAATGGGTTTTTTGTGTTGCGTCACAATGTTCTTGAAGAACGTTTAGTAAAGTTTTATCATAGAATTTACGGAACCTTTAGTAATATATATGTTAATAATTTGCTATACCCAAGTAACCACGTGACATTTATGAGTGAAGCCCATCAAAGATAAATTGACGTTTTCATCAGTTTTTTCAGAATGCATTTATTTTACAGCATTTTGTATATTTATTAGAAAATGTCACTAATTACTAAATCAGACACAATATTAAATAAATAATAACGACGGACCGCTGTGTGAATGTACACCTTTCTTAACAAAATTGCAAAATTTCTTTAGTTTTAAATTTCAACACCAGCAACAAGATAATTTACTTAAATTAGCAAAAGCATTCGTACTGCTATTAAGCTAAATCATCTAACCTGTCAGATTTTTTTTGCTAATTACTGTGTTTATTTTATTCTTGCTTTTATTTACCAATACAAGCCATTAAGAACAAAGTCTTGTTTACAGTGGCAGTCTGACAAAAAGCAAAGCCTCTATTTTTTAAAGCAACTAAACTAACATTTATAAAACACCACATTAAACATGGACAGCAAATATTTGTGGTTGCAAAACAAGGGCTACGAAAACTTCAGCGCATCATGGATGATTCAAGACAGTACAGTAGCGATAGGTTGACCGACTCTTTTTACTGACTCGGATCTCGAACAGTAAATTTATCTTGAACGAATCATTTCGTTCATTTTTACAGCAGGTGGCGCTGTAGCCCTCTTGTGGGCGTTGTAAAAAAGGTTCTCAAACACTATATACAGTACTGAAGGCAACATGGTATGCTTCAGCTGACAAACTATAACACACAAAATGCCGCAAGCAATTCAAACCGTGTGAAAACCTAAGAAAGCAAATACACTCCACAATAAAGTGACTTGTGCCTTGCATCCTCCCCGTCATTGTTGTTTAACAGCTGGTAGAGGACAGTGAACGTAAAACTCATCATGACAATGAGTGAGAAAATGAAAACAAAAAGTAACAATTCACAAGTTCCCTAAAATGTTTACATGGTGCGTTTATTGTGTCAAAAATGTGACGGTATTATTATTAGTAGTATTGTTATAATTCCTGTTCTTGTTGAATTTGTTATCATTATTATTATGTTTTATTATTTTATGGTACAGTATAACAAAATCAATGTTGTTTTAATTTCTAAAAGTATGCATTTATAAACACACTTATAACACACTTTACATTAAATACACAACACTACACATGTGAGGGACATAAATAAAGTTTAATAGCAAAAGTTAAATAAGAATAAAATTAAATAAAACCAAGCAAAAGAACGATCCGTATGAACGAATCGTGAACGAACTGTAATGCTTGCTGCTTTGATTCTCTAAACATTTTGTGCGTCATCAAAGCTTTTTTGTTTGAGAGCACGCGTGAGATCACCCTTGAGAACACTGACTATTCAAGTTGAGGTTGTGGCGTAGCAGCATGATCTCTGTCTGGACAATTCAGGTTCCGACTTCACTAACTGAAGACTAAGTCTTTGAACTGAAATGATGAAATGTTAAGCAATCTTTCCCCTAAGATTTCATAACATTTTAAATGGACTTTTAATGTTATATTGAAAATACACACTGACACGAATATTTACAGACTTCAGTAAGGATATAATTCACTGTCACGTGATATTGAACAACAGTTGAAGTTGTACGTTAAACATATTTTTGTCCACCAGATGTCACCAAAGATAACTGTGGCGAAACACTTCGAATACTAATACTAATACCAATACCAATACCAAACCTTGCTACAAACAGCAAACCTCAACCAATGCAATACCAAACCATGCTACAAACAGCAAACCTCAACCAATGACTACAAACAAACTACATTTATTAAAAGTGTCACTATTGCTAAGAGAGTAATGTTTAGTAGTATGTTAAGTACAGTGGTTCTTAACCTTGTTGGAGGTACTGAACCCACCAGTTTCATATGCGCATTCACAATAAATATTAACGGTGGTTATTAAAACAGTAAGGGTAATGCAGAAGATAGACTTAAAACAGAATAATTTGAAATAAAACCGTATGTGTATAAAGTGAAGTAGTAGTCCCACTAGAGACGACAAGAGTTTCGGGAGCAGCAAACGTCTTGTACACAGACGTCAGTAACACAGGAAGTGACTCAACGTTATCACAGTAGTTGTAGTTTGCGACAATTGAATTTGCAATAAACAGTTATTTCAAAATTAGACCAACTAAAAAAACCCACATATAACCTCCATTCCACCACTGTCAAAGCAAGACATAAAAACATTCACAACAATTTCCCCATAATTGTTAATTGTTGATAATGATATGGATTTACTTTTGCATTGTGTACATTTGTCATGTATGCAAAGTACATTTTGATATATTTTAATTTTATTGACATTGAACATATGAATTAAATAAAAGTATGGTATAATTACCTGAAATGAAGTGTTCGGAACAGACTTTTGTAATGCTTTTTGCTTGGATTCGGGTTGAAATTAGCACGGTTAATACATGAAAAGCCATAGCATCCTTCTTTCTGTCGAAACATCCTCCGTCAGCTTCCTTTGGCGGCAGATTGTTTTATGTCAAAAAAACTTCATCTTGCGATCTCCATTCCCAGATCTGTTGGTACAACCGCACACAACACAGGTATTTACTATTATAGGGGTTCTTTTGTGTATTTAATATCTATCTATACGCTCTGTTGCCACATAAGATGGCGGACTACGGAACTATGGGTAGTAACGTAACGTCATCGGAAAACTAGAGTCTATAATATATTGAGGTTACATTAACAATATAAAATAGAACAGATTTAGTTTGACAAATTTTGAAAGTAAATTAGATGACATATCGGTCAAGTATTTGACAATGGTCATGAGAAAAAAAACTACAGTTGTAGGAATAACTTTGTGAAGGTACTCCTGCAGTTCTGAAGGCAACCAAACCTTTGCGGTAAAGACAGTGACACAAATTTCTTTTTTGAAATTAATTGATCCCACATTTGGGATTTTTGTGTTGCAACAAGCTGTCCCTGCAGGCACCGAGCACATGGTTCCTCTCTAGACCAGTAAAATCTGCATTTTTTCAGCTGTCTTTGACAGATTTTTCTTCTAATTATAGTTATCCTATTTATGTAAACTCCATCAAATGGTCACTGCTCAGAGTTAAACAAATAGATTGTTCACTAGATCAGCGACACGGTCTTTTTTAAGGTAATAATTCAGCTTTTTTTATTTAGCAAGCAGCAGGCCAGGGAACAAGATTTAGGAACAGACCAACTATAACCTGTATGTAAATATGTCAATTTAGGAACTATAACCTGTATGTAAATATGTCAAGGCTCTGCCCTTCTGTCTCTCTCCGTGGGTAATCTGTTGATCACCTGTCTCCTGTGCACTGCTTCTCTGGTTTTCTCTTATCACACCTGGTGCCCAATTATACTTATAAACCCCTCACCCACACTGTGCCTGCTGTGCCTGTCAATGACAGATGGTCACTCTCTGTTTATCTTTTTCTGTGTGTGCTCCAGCTCCGCCTGTGTTCGTTCGTCTGCTCCATCAATTTTGCTTGGTCTGTGTATCCTTACGTGATTTTCTCAATGCACGGTTGGTCGTTCTGTATGTTGTGTTTGTTCTGCACATTCTGTTTCACCTGGTGTATGTTCTGTTTTTGCCATATTCATCTCTATTGCCTGTCCTTTGTTCAAGGTGTCTCATGTGTTCCCTCTGTCTATGTTCCTGGCCTGATTGTCTTCAGTTTTGCCCAGACTAGTTCCTACTGCGTTGGACTTTTGAGGAATAAAAGAACTGTTAAAAAATGCCTGAGTCCCAGTGTGTTTGAGAATAAGGAGACAATAAACAAAAGTCTAATGGAGTTTCTTCATGCTCAAATAATTGTCCACATTACTGATATTTATGCTAATGCTATACTGTTGGATTTAAAGTAATCAGGGATTTACTGTTCAGGACTGAATTCCTTCAGTTCCTGTGCTCCGGCGGCTCCTTGGATATTTAAAGAAATTTACCAATAACTAATGTTCTCCTATTTGCTTAGAATAATGTGCACTTGTATTTATAATAATCATACATCAATCATAAGCAAATTATAAGGTTTATAATCAACAAAGAACTTAACTGGAAATCTCCAAAGCACATAAAAACATACAAAATCTGAGTTGTTTAGTGAATACAACAATTCCTTTGTTTTTGTTGTTCACTCAAGACATTTGGGATTTAAGATCAAAGGATAAATGGAAGATAAATGTTCAGAATGTCTGCTTTCATTTCCTGATATTTTGGAAGGGGACTGTACTTGACTACACTGAGTAAAAAGACAAAAGTCATTAGACCAGGGATGGGCAAACTACTACGAATATGGCTATTAGGTTTTCCAATCTGGACTGCATTTCACTAACGGATTGTGCACTGCAGGGGTGAGATGTATTATTCTCCACTTTACTCTTTCGTTTTGCCCTTTGGTTGAACTTCCAACTAGGGATGTCTACAACTACCATATATTCCAGACTATAAGTTGCACCTGAGTACAAGTTGCACGAGCTAAAAAATGCGCAATGAAGAAGAAAAAAACATACTGTATATAAGTCGCACCAGCCAGCTAGAGTGCCTCTAGTGGCTGTCAGTGTGAAAATAATGAACATCTAAATTTTCAGTGGTACAGGAGTAGAAAATACTGGTACACAAGCCTAGAGTGCCCTCTAGAGGCTGTCAGTGTGAAAATAACAAACGTGAAATTATATATTTTAATATAAGTCACACCCAAGTGTAAGTCGGAAAAGGTTGAATATATATATAACTCCTGGCTAACAACATCGGGTCACGTTGGAATATCTCTTAAATCTCCAATGTAGACAAAAGTGGACTAAGGGTCTCAGAAATGTGCAGGTCTTTTTTATTTAGGATGAGGGGAACCAATGGGAGTTGGCAATGATCGTCCACATCTATTTTAATGGACATTATGGATTGTAATTGGTCATTATATGATAGAATTTGAAGTAATATCCACATATAATACGTCTTCTATAAGTTGCTTTAGGAAATCATTTATGATTTGGGAGTGGAGCTGCCTCACAGGTCAGTTGTTTTGTTCTTTTGGCTACGGAGGCTAGCGCTCAGCTGCAGCAGGGAGAGCACGGGATTAACTTGAGACACAGGAAACTACAATGCTTAATTTTTTATAGACAAAATATACGATTGTCTTCCATGCTTCTTAATACACAGATGTGAGTTGTGAAATATAGCCATACGTTTATGTTTTTGATGCCAGTTGAGTGGTTTAGATTTTTATTGGTCCATGTTTGATGAAGGTAGGACAATTTAACACAAATCACCAAGTTAGATATACATAGTAAAATACAGTTCTTCAGGTAAAATAAGTTGATTTTTCCTAGGGTAAATAAAAAAAAAACAACTCATCTGTAAAAGCAAAAAAGCGGTTTCTTGTTCCTTTCTGACATGTGACAAAGGCAGGTAAGCACAAGTAGCAGGTCCTCACGGATCTTTAGTGGTGCTGTGGTCAATATTATCTTTCTTAGAGTCTCAGGATTAGTGTATTTCATCGTTCGTATTTCCTGTCTTCCATCTCTGAGGATGCCGTAGGTGTTCACCACAAATTCAGTGAATATGGGGTGAAGATTTGTTTTGTAGCCCAACTCATTCAACTGCTCCATGAGATCATTGTACCTCTGAGTGAGGTGAAACCGATAACCTTCATCTACTTTCCCCGTCAATGGATGCGTGCTTACATCTATTATCTTGCTTGGAATGTTGGATATTGTGAAACCATAAAATCTTTTTTGACCCTGGAAGATATGGGACAGGATACTCCGATCCAGCTGATGTGCAATTTCTCCAAGGATTCTTTCTTTAAAATCCGTAGAATAATCAGCTGGAGAGCTTGCGTCACTGGTGTCTATGCAGAACGAGTTTTTAATGAACGACCTGAAGTCAGTGGGAGACGATGTTCGCGGTTCATTTTTATGTTTTGTGTGTTGCAAAACCTTTTGGAACTCCATCTCATCGCACGTAATCTGGCACAGATTGGGTGGTTTTCTCAATGTTGACTCGCCCAGAACTTCACTGAAACTCTGCATTCTGCTTTTTAAATCAGTGATCTCCGACTTCAGCTCCTCATTCTCTTGCTCAAGTAGTTCTTTTTGTGACAGCAAGGTAGTGATGGTTTGCCCCACTTCCATAACGGAGTATATAGTTCAAGAGTCCCAGGTTTTGTTTTCAAATTTTACAGTCACTGACATCTGTAATATTCCATTTGTGCAATTATTGATGTCCTTCCACCGTGTTTTTAGTGTTTAGAGATTTGGAGTTAAAATGGATTTTACGTCTGTCTTTTTCTGTCATATTGCACTATTCCCTTAAAATGTATCCTGGCGTTCTAAGTCAGTTGTTGCTTGCGTGGCAGGGATGTTTAACTGTTGTCCAACAAAATGACCCATCTTTGTATTCTTTTTAACTGGATTGCTTTCTTCCCATAGACTGTTTTATTTATGATGTCATTGGACATGACACATGACATTAAAACATAAAAGGTAGGAAACAATTCAAAGGAATGGATTCCATTAAAAAAACAGAAAAAAATGTTAACGTTCCAAATGTTAACAGAAAAAAAAAAATGTTAACGTTCCAAATGTTAACGTTCCAAATGTTAACGATGTTGTTGCAAATGTGTGGGTATGAGGGTTGCTACTGTGTTTTGTTTTTTTTACAACTCTACAAGTGTAATTACCTTGAAATACCTTGCACATGAAGGTGTTCAGGAATGATATAGGGTCGCATCAGTGGTACCGGCCATTCTGTGGTGTGATGTGAATTTTACAGTACTGGCTGTTTCCATTGTTAATATCCAGTTCTACTCTTCCTTTTACTTTATTTTGCTCTGTGTGAATACCCAACAAATCCTAAAATGAAAAGGAAAGACATATTAAAACTTGGAATTCAGCTGTTTAGTTTCATATTTTATTAGGTTTAATGTTTAATGTTTAAAAGAATGTGTTCTTACCTTCCAGACAGACGATACAGTAGCAGCTAATGGCGGCATGTGCAAAGGAGGAGGAAGGTAGGGAGGAGAGTTGGCCCGTATGCAGACACTTGAGTGAGGCGGCGTGGGCTGCTCCAAGTGCTCGACCACCTAGCGTCGGTGTCTGTGAGCAAATTCGTGTCTCAAATCTTTACTCGTACGTCGAGTGAATTCTCAGTGGACGCCTGAGAATCCACTGTAGAGGCTTATATGCAACACTGCTATCAAAACCTATTCTTATCATAGAAAATGACATTTTAATAGATGTCCACTGTAGTGACCGCCATGCATGAAAGGATTAAGAAGTATTTCAACATCAGAGACAAAGGAGTTTTACACCTATAGATGATAGAAACACCTATAGATGCGGCTTATCAATGAATGTGCTAACTTCTCTTCTCAGTTTAATGTAAAAAAATTGAATAAAAACGTTCATATCTAACCCAGTCACTTGTTGAGACTTTTTCACTTTCACTATGGTTTACACATCTTCACTCGGCACATCACCTTATTACCTGCAGACCTATATAACATTGCCTTGTAGTTAATTCCATCTTTACTGACACCAAACGTAAAGTAAACTAACAGTGACAATGACCTGTACTTACATCATCTTGTAAAAACGTCTGATATACAGTAAATGTCTTTATAGCACATTGCATTGGTTATACGTTGGTTAAGTATAATTCTATACCATTTACAGTCCCACGTTCTTGCTGCTTTACGCCAAATGGTTGCCTTTCTATTTCTTCTGGCTAGAAGAAGGATACTTCTATTTTTGAAGTCTCCCACCCCATCTGCACACTTTATTTGGCATAGTGACAGTGTGTCTTTCCTCCAACTGGAGAAAATTAAGTTCATCCTTAGAGGATGAACAGATTTATTTTATATACACTAGCAACCATTTCTGGAAGTACTTTCACAACTTGCCTGTTACTCCATCAGATTAAGCTTCGCTATGTTGTCTCCTTTAACTCTATATGTGTGGGTTTTTTGTAGGATTTTCTTGCAAAATATTTGCTATATCACGCAAAAAATAAACTAAAAGACATCATAAAATAAGTTTTTAACGAAGGTTTTGGCCTTTTTTGAAATTGAGATAAGCCCATTTGTAAATGATTGCTGGTAGCTTTGTTTACCTAGACAAGATCGTACACAGCATACTATTGGCTAATACAATGCATACTCGGTATACTATTAGCTAATTGAGCATGCTCTTCTGTTCCTCAC